GAGGCAAGCAGTTGTTTGAAGAACCTGCCCTCCTACGCCTTCTGACATATCCTCTCCAAAAACATCCAAACAACGTCTGGAACATTGCTAAAGTAAAGAAGTGGGACTCTGATGACACTAAGGAATAACCGTACTATTCTGCCATTGCTGTATTGAGTCCCATTAGTTTTAATCTTGCTGTATATTTAGAGTCAAGTCAAGTAATGTTAGATGCCCCAGGCCTTTATAACACGCTTGAATCCAAACAGGGCCTCAGAAAGGTTGAACTAAGTTATCAGCTGTATAAATAATAAATGTGATCAACAACAAATAAAATAAAAATGGAATCATAACAGAGAAAATTATCTGAATCACAAATCAAGGGCAAAGAGACATTTTCAAACCTCATGTAAAGCAAAAGGAAGAGGTTGGGAGGAGGAACTAGACAAAGTATTTCCAAACTCAGAATCTAAAACAATATGTAATATAGTTCAAGCTTGTTGCATAAAAGTACCAGGGAGGTGGATATATTGGGAATACGTTAGACTAACAAGAATATTTGGCATGTAAATACCACTTTTCATTCATAAATATCCAAGCACTTCACAAAGGTGGTTAAGTATTATCTTTCCAGATGAGAGTCAGAGACAAAGAAGACAGACAGGCTAGATATGGCTGATGCTTAAAAGGGGTACAGGATGCTGGCTGACAGTGTTAACACAGGTCACCAAGAAATAAGAATGAGAAACGCATATAGACAGAAAATGATTTCTGGACTAATGCTGTCCTCCCTCTAATGTCAAATGAAGCCTCCAAGACTGGCAATTTTAGAAAGGACTTTCTCCATTCTAAACAGAAATACAATGGAGTTTATTAAAGTAATGTTTCTTGGCTAGGAATAAGACCATGAGCAAAATGTTGCCAAGCATGCTGACAGAGTAAAACAGGACTTCCATAAAAGGTTCTGAATAAATGAGTTTTTGCATGAGTTTGCAGAATGGTCTGATCTTTCATGGCTCATCAGACTCCAAGCCAGGATGATCACCTCCTAAAAAACAACTTCCTAGGAGGTAGTACTAAAAATACTAATAACTGAAATGCTCCAAAAGGATTTTCATTAATTTAGCCAAGACAAAGTTAATAAGCCATGACCCAAATGTTTTTTCTTCATTAGGTTGTTTTAAATGTTATATTCACGTTATATATATGTGTGTGTGTGTGTTAAATAAATTTAGAAGCTGGCAGATATCAGTTTCCTTTTACAAAGTCATTAAAAGAAAATAAAAAACCAGCCATGGCTGGTAACAAAACTTGACAGGGAATGTTTTGTAATACAAAATAATACAAGTGGGTCTGGCGTAACACAAGATACTAAAACTATTTCCTACCCAAAAAAGAAAATAGGAAATGTAGAATACTTGAAATTAAGGGACCATTAACAATGTGTTATTCATATTTATGAAATGATTACTAGATGCGTCTCCACAAGGTGTGCTATGATGCGTGTTTCTTCAAAGTACCTGATAGAACTAGAGTTATACGATAAGTAAACTAAAGCTGGATAAAAAATTCCATGATCAAAATCTGTGTAAGTGTAATAGTAATGTAAAATATACAGGGATTTGGATGTTTTCAGGGATTGATAATGGGGCACAGAGCATTTTATCCCGATCTCACAATTTACTCTTTGGAAACTCTCCAGTGGTCATGAAAAAAACCAAACCCTGGTGGTTTCTGAGTTAACTTCCTAGTAGCTAACCGTCCATAGCACAAGAAACACCACAACACTTGGCTCCCCTATTGATCTTTTGAGCAGAGGATGAAAGATTGAATGGACATGGAGATTTAATTACGGTTTCATTTGAAGGGATGTTTTCTCAGGCGGGGTATGACACACGTTGGAAGGCAGGATAATACTGCCTTGGAAATTTTGTTAATTGAAGAGACTATCATCCCTGGGATCATTTCCCTTTTAAATTTGATACAAGCCTTTGCATTTTCACCAAAATGAGGTAGGACTGGGTTGATTTTTCAGTTTGCTGTCAGTTCCAAAAACTGAAAAGAAAAAACCCAAACCGCAATTGAAAATGCCTCCCAAAAATTAATTAATCAAAGAAGCTGACCAAAATTTTATTTCAGGTTGAACAAAATGTATCATTTTGGAGCACTTTTTCAAATAAAAGCAAAGGAAATGAAGGGCTAGATTCATAAAAATCAGGAGGAAGAAGAGGTGGTGATGTTCACCTTATCACTTTGTAGCCCAGTGGTTAAGGGCACTCACCTGGGGATGTGGGAGATCCAGATTCAATTTCTCCCTTTGCCTGACAAGGAGCAGGGATTTGAAATTGCATCTCCCATGCTGCAGAAGTGTGCGCTAACCACTGCACTATGGAATATTCTGGTGTTGGTCTTTCTCAATTTCCACTGTTGAAGCTGTTCCACTTTGTTCCACCATCACCTCTTCCTTCACTGCCTCCATTTTGTGAATGGCACTTAAGTCCTCAAAAGAATTTTTGGCTGAAACTATTCAGCAAATTTGTGTCAAATTCACAAATAGTTTTGGGTTGACGAAACTGCATTTTTTCAGTGAATAACCTCCCACCCCTCTAATTAGTGGCCAGGCTTTCTCCCTCCTTAAAGATGATCATCCCTCATGTGATTCATTAATTTGGGTGATTTATGCAGAATTAGCTTGGTCTGCATGCAAATAAGATCTCAGAAACATCTTGTATGTTACCAAGGACCACACTGGGCTAATTTACTATCTAAAATCTATAACTGGATTTCTGGGCATCCTGTATGCTCACAGATTGCTCATCTCTAGAAATGCTGAGTACTGTAGCTGTTTTCACACCCGAGAGACCAATTTTTCAAGGAGTCAGGAGACTACTTAACAGACACCTGTAGCTTTATTGTCAATACAGTTTAGAATTATGGAGCTAGGTTATGCACGCTAGCAAACATATTACTGTCTTGACACATGATAACTCAGAAGAAGTCTGTCAGAGGAGTCCTTCAGACTAGTCTCTGAAATAGATTTGTGCATAAGCAGATGGGCAATAATATTCAAAATCCTGCCATGATGTAAAATTGTCCCCCAATTAAGTCATCTGCTGGTGCAACCTAGAATATGCTCAGATTCCCTGAAGTAAGCAGCCTGTGTTCTGATTCCAGGCAGCCTGGATTTACCCATCTTGGAGGTTACTAACACAGAACAAAACTTCTCATTTGTATGCTTGGTAGTTATGCACGTTTTCTTGGAGAAGTAAGACAATATAAGGGGTAGTTAATGTTTGTGGAAGAGGCACCTCTCAAACTCTTTCACAGTAATGAATTTTGATAAAGTTTTAATTTGATTTGAAAGGGACACTTTCAAGTTTTCCAGTATATAGCTCAAAATCTCACCAACCGTTCATTATTACTATTTGCTTATAAAATCCATCTAATTTGTTGTGGGCTGCCTTTTTATACTATTTTCTTTTTTCAAAAATTAGTATTGTTTTTCTTATAAAACAATAAAATCGGACAGCAGTCCTGCACTTGAGACTTGAAAGGCTCTTCAGTAAGAAATCAGGGTGCCTTCAAAATAGAAATAGCTTGCAAAAATTGCAAAATTTCAGGTTAATAAAATGAGTAAATATTGAATTTGAGAAAATTATGAAAAATCTTGACAGGGTCCTTTTAATTAAAAAGGAATACTGATGCAGTAAACGTGAATAGAAAGCTCAGTTCTAAGGCTTCAAAACGATTTACTGCAGTAAGAAATCTTTACTTTAAAATCCATACTGTCTGAATCTACTTGCCAACTACACCACTATAATGCAGCTCTATTTCTATACAGTATCTGACTATATGATGCACAGTATTCAAACATACAGTGCCTGGAGTTGCAAAAAGTACATTACCCACACAGGGCCAATATCTGCTATCAGTGACACTTGTTACAGCTGGTACCCTCATTGGGTGGATAGTATTAACATGGCCAAGGATAATCCCATTTACTTCATGAGGCTTTGGATCAGGTTCTGAATGAACATGGACTATGAACTACGCTTTCAATCACATTGGTATTCTCCTGCCCCACCCCATCAAGTCAGTGTTCTAGCACATTGGCTGGGTAGTGTAGGAGGCACCTTGTTCTGCAACTGCCTTTGCTTCACCTACCTTGTGAAAAAATAAAGGTTTTCAGTTCTATCCAGCATCTTTCATCAGTACTATGGATGCAATTTTTAAAAATGCCTCAGTGACTTAGGAGCACAAGTCCCCCTGGATCTTCATCATATAGTTCATTCAGATATTCTCTATTCACTTTTTACTTTCACTTAATTCACTAAAAAGTTGCTTTGATGTTGCACCTTATTTTGAGGAATCTTGGCATCTGGAATAGATATCTTGCCAATAAGAGAGATCTTCCAACAGGGCTTGAGATGTTGGTTTCAATAGCCTAGACTGTTACAAAATGGCACTAATATCAGTAGTGCATTTCTTGTAGGCCAAATAGCCATCAGATGTTACTGATGTCCAGTCACTGCTGATATGGAACACATAGAATCAGATACTTGGAAGTGAAAGGCTCTATATCCCAATACATAACTTAACTCTGCAGTCCTCACAAATTAATCCTTTCACATGAAATGGCTAATAGGCATAAATGCAGTATTTAGGCAAAATTGGAATTGCATAACAACAAAACATGATACTATATCATCTGTATATCTATATTTATATACACAGAGAGGTTATGGGATGAAATGTCCCAAATCAACTAAGAGTCAATATAACTGCCTGCTAATACTTTATGCAGACAATGTCAGATCTAAAGCACTCAGGCCCAGGAAAGGAAGGAAACTAGATAATTAAGGTTAGTCAGGAACTACCCCACTCAATTTCAGCATGCTGAGATTTAAGGTATTCATTTTACTTCTTCCTTCCTTTGTTTCCTGTGAAGCTTCACAATCACACACACAACTATCTCATGTCATGTTCCTAAGGACCTTCGTACGCACCAACACTTTACTGACCTGCAGCATCTGCAGATAGCCTTCTTGTGGATCACAGAGCAATGAAGATATTCTATGATTATTTCTCATGCATCTCTGATTGTTGTCTCTTGACAGAGGGAAGATTTGCCGGATAACCGTCATCCTCCCGAGAGCACTGTGTACCAGTTCTAATATTTCATTATCACTGATTTCCTGCGAAGAGAAACACAGTCTTTTTAAACAAAACAACACACATATTTCTTGTATTCCTGACATTATTTGATCAAATATTCTAAACAGAAAATGACCCTGAATTTTTTTAATAGATTCAATCCAGGACAAATGATCCTATTTTGTGTATGTTAATGGGAATGTTTTATATGCATCATTTAAAACAGACTAGAACTCAGCATTATACAGCACCTTTTATGCCCAAGCTATCTTGGCTCTTCTTATACATTAGCTACTTAGCTTATCATAGCAAAATAATGAGATGGTTAAAATAGCTTGGTTAAACAAGGACCAATAAGTGCTTTCATCCAAAGTCTAAACCGCATTCAAGCAGAAAGTAAGTTGGCTAAAATTTTTAGGTCATTTTTTTTTAAGAGCATGTCATTTAGTGCCTCATCACATCCTGATCCTGCTTGGGACCTAAAACATAAGTGGCAAAACAACATATGAAAGGCTGTTCTTACAATAAGTCTGGCCCGACCAAAATCTCATGAGAAAACCCACATTTTGTAAGATTGACAGTCCTATTTTGCAGACTAAAGGGTATGGAGAGTTCTGATAAGCATCTGAAATCTTTTGACAGTTTAACCACATTAGCAAAAGAAGTCAAGATTAGGTGAGGCTTTGTTAACACATGTAAACTAAACTTGACATAGCCAGGATGTTAACATGCATCTATGTTAAGGAAAACATCTTTTATCTTAATTAAGCTGGTTGAGATCAGCCTAAGACTACCCCTGCTTTTTTACTAAGGAAAAATGGTTGCCTTGACCTCTTTTCCTAATCTTGGACTTTTTTCTGAATCAACCACCAAACCTTTTGGGTTCCCTTGTTAATAGCACCGTAATTGTGTAGACATTTGGAAGTGCATTACGCTACCAGTGATTTCTCTCAAAGCTTTGGATGTTAGAATGCATTTTTATTTTATTTGATCAGGATGTTAAGAATCTTCTCTTAGATTTCAACCAGAGATGTTCAAAAATAGGTGCCTAAAATTGGACTTCTAGGGCCATATTTAGGCAATTAAAAAGGTGGCCTGATTTTTAAAAGTGCTAAGCCCCCGACAGCTACCTTTGAAGTCAAAAGGTAAATTTTGTTATTTTTTAGATACTTCATATAAGTGAAAGGGAGATGCTGGGTGTCCAGCCCTCTTGAAAGTTAAATCATTTACTTAGGTGTCTAGATATGAATTTAGGCACCCATTTTTGAAAATCTTGGGCTGAATGTTTTTGACTTTTTCATTACAGAAAAACATCATCACAGATAATGAAAAACACTTAAAGATTTCGACAAAGAAAAGAAAAAATGCAGGATAGAAAGAAGACAAAGTAGTTGAAGGAAAAGAGAAAAGAAATGGACCATGTTAAGAAGAAAATCCAAAGTCATTTGGTCAACTTCCACCTCAACAGTCACCAGAGACAGACAAACAAAAAAAGACGGTAGGTTCAAGGGTGTAAGGTGAGTGACTTATGTCATGACACAGGCAACAGGGTTCATGGTGGTGAACTGACCGTCTTTTTTCTGATTCGTAAGTCCTTTTATTAACACACTGATAGGCATTTATAGCCAGCTGCAACACCATGATATATTAAATGATGATATTCTATGTAATAGCAATTCTGTTTTGTGAGATTATGGACAATGTGAGCTGGAGACATTTAATTGCTCAGTGTATTTGTCATTTTTAATTGCTAGGTATACCCTTGGCTTCAGTTTATCAGCTAACGTGCAGGGTAATAATGAATGCTGTAGTATCTTCACTGTTCCAGAAACATTTGGAAGAAAGAAAGTAAAGGAAGAGAGGAAGAAGGAAGGAACACCACCAATCTTGCCTGTCTTGGGACAGGCTCCCATAGGAAACTGTTGAAGCTTTCACAGCTTTGCTTCATAATGCTGAATTTGCTTAAATGTAGCACAGAAGATTTCAGAAGTTGCATTGCTACTAATGAGGTGCCATTGTTAGAACACTACCTTCTACGATGCTGCACATGTTCCAGTCTGAATGAGTGAAAAAATAGAGTATATACTTTCTTTTGGGTGGTGCTAGTTTAAACAAAGTATATACCACTTCAAAGTAAATGTACAAGTTGAGAGGAATGACAAGAGAAAGGCATCTAGTTGAAGAATTCCTTAAGAAAGAGGAAGAGATTAATTAATTTAGGGATGCACATGTTCCTGCACAGCATAATTTGGGTCAAAGATGAGGGTAAATAGCAGAGACCACAAACACAAACCACAGCCTAAGTTTCTTCTTCAAGCTTGGTTAGTACTAAAGTTTCCCTGCCAGACCATCAATGTCCTAGCTCCCTAAACCCCTTTAGCACAAAAAGATGCTTCTATTGCCTGTACATTGCAGCTGAAGTTAACTGCACATGGTTTACATATTTTATATTAAAAACTATTTTTTGACTAGGGACATACAATGATTTTAAAATCCTGGGTTTAGTTCACTACTGAAATTGCTGTAGGGTGGCTATTTGTCAACTCCTGTTTCCTGTGAGGGATTCCCCCGAGGGAATGGCAAACCAATGGTACTGCCTATTACCTTCCTTTCAAATGGGACACAGAAGGGAACAGTTTTTAATTCTGGCTAGAGCTCCATAGAAGCTCCAGTAGTGGAATCTGAATGTCTGAATCAGCTCTTCTCCCAGGTGCTTTGGCCACACTTCTCCACAGCTGGTCCAACCCAATTTCTAAGCTGCACAAACCAGCCCTGAGCCCCTCTTGGAGTGGGGTTTGCTGCTGTGCTTCCCCCATTCTGTCAAGGGGCCCTGCAGCTTGTGTTCTGTCAGCAGCAGTCAATCTGGCCCTCAATTTTTAACATGAAAGAAATAAGTATTTTGTTTTCATTTCACTTTTGCTCTCAAGCTGTGAGTGAAACGACCATGAGGCTATTATAATTACATGGTTTGGTAGACTAGAACGGCAGCTTTGGCTCATTTTAGTCCTTTTCTGCCAATTTCCAGTCTGTTTTAGGAATATTTTTTTTAAACTTTGCAGAAGATGAATATCTTGATACTAATGACAGGCCAACTAGTGGGGGTAAAATACATAATATAGTCTCCCAGAAGTTGAATGGAGGGCTTTTGAGATTTGTTACTGAATTCAGGCAAGCTCCTGATGCCTTTACTGGAACCAGTGCTCAGGCACTCCACAGGTGTCCTGCAGGCACCAAAAGATCCTCCAGGCAGATTGCTTTATGCCTGGGGTTTCTCTTCTCTGTGGGAAGCCATACAGGGTGCCTAACCATTTGGTATGCTGGTCTGAGCAAGAAATATTTTCATGGGATACCTCTTGCTTCATCTTTTTTCTCATCAGTTATCCTTCTGGGGCAAGCCTCTTCACACACACACTCCAACGGACTGAGGTTAAACAACAAGAAACATTTTTAAAAAAGAACAATTTAAATTACCAAGAACTGTCAACTAACCTACACAGGAGGCAAAGGCTGGTTCAATGGCTGCACGAACTGATGAATAGACATTTAGGGGACAGGGTCTCATAACCTCAGGTCCAGAATACTTGATCTGAGACGCATGAGCATGTGCATGGCTTAATTACAGTGAATAAGTCTGAGACTCACTTAGCAGGACACGCTGTTCCTAAGGTGGGGATCTGCAGAGGAACTTCTTGGAGGAATGTTCAGCCATGACAGCTTTCACCCATCAATCACCCATATCTACTGGTGGATAAATCCATTTTAGAGATGTGGAAACTGAGGCACGGTGAAGCTAATTGACTTTCCCAGTGTCATGAAGCAAATCAATGGCACAGCCAGGGACTGAACCCTAAGATGTCAACTCTGACCTTGGTGTTTTAAAAACTAGACACTGCATCCCTTTTGTCAAAATGCTTGCAGTTCTAGTTTTATAGTAGGTATGATAAATGTCATGCACAGAAAGTTCATCTGAATCCCAAGAATGAAAATTAAATAAAAAGTAACCCAAAAAAGGACAAAAAATATGTGCAGTGGACTCTTGTTTTATATCAATCAGGACAACTGTGTGTATTCAGAAAATAGTTTTCCACGAAGGCAGAAAAAAAGCCATTTCAAAGGATCTTATAATTAAGCCCTAATTTGTCTAATTATTTATTTAAAAGTGATTTCCTTTTTTCACATACATGATACAAAATCTTTCTTCACTTTGTGAAACAGATAGAGAAAGTGCTCTGCTTAACTATTTGGCTGCTGAGTTTTTTGTTTGTTTTTTAACAGAAATTTAACCCTGATTTTCCAGTCAATTTGAGGGTCATTAGGGCTGTTATGGCACAAGGCAGCTGCAGTGCAGGGAATGGGGATGTGTAAATGCTGGATACTACATCTGTCTGTCTCCCATGCCTAACTACTGAAAGCAAGGGGTTGATTCAGCAGCTGGGAATAGCATGGCATAGGGATAGCTGACCCTCCTTCCCCAGTCCATGTGCTATGTTAGGGAGCGTGTGACATAAGAGCTACAACAAAATTCCATGCTGGTACACAGACACTACAGTGAGGGAGGCCTGACAGAGTGAGAGAGAGCCATATCATGTCTAACATGTTTTAATGGTGATCATAGAACAGCTGCCAGACAACCGAGGTGTTGGAGGCTCCTACCCAGGCTCCCCCATATTTTCTAACCTTGGTCATTTATTCTCATCTTTCTCACCCCATTGTATACCAGGCTGAAGAATAAGAAAGAAAAAGAGTAGAGATGAAAGGAAAGAGCATCATCCAGCTTCACCCAGGGGAAAGGAGCTAAGAGCAGCTCCCTGGAGCACACTGATTCTTGCCTTGAGTACAGCAGGGGAAGATCTGGCACATACTCCCCATGCCATTGGGACTTCACACATGCCAAGGGAGGGGAGATGGAAGCCTCAATACCAGCCTCAAACACTTTAATAATGTGTTATTAAATAAATTATGTAAAGTTATGCAAATACATGTAAATTTGAACAACTTATTTTTTATTCAGGCTGTTGGTACATATGAATAATCTTTGAGG